TGGTAAAGGATGTTTTGCTAATGGTACCCAACCAATAGCTGCTGCTCGAGCAAATGGAAGCCATGCAGCTACACTAGCCATTTGGTTTCTTTTACTTTTTTTTTCTTATCTATTAGTTATCGTGTTTTAATTAACCTATAAATTAAGTAAATTAACAAAGTTTAGAGATAATTTTCATTTTAGTATATCCCTCGAAAAATAAAAATGTAACAAGACAAAGCTTTTGAATGTCATGTGAAGCCATAGGGTACGATCTCTAGTTACTATCTATCCTTGATCTAGTTCCTTGTGCGCTAAGGATATATATGCTGAAACACAATTTTTCTTCAACAGTCAAAAGTTTAAGATATTTTTAGTATTGTATCAGTTTTGATGTTGGTAAATAATAGAAAAAAAAAAAAACATTTAAAATAAACCTTTAGATGATAATTGAAACTTTCGACTTTTATATACATAATAAGAAAGAATATTGAAAACTGAATGAACTTAGAAACACATTGATTTCATAATAACTCGTCGAAATGAGACTTATTAAATAGTTTTTCCCCAATTTTAATTAATGTGATATTCATAAATAAGAAAATTCAATCTTAAGATGGTGATACTTCAATGTTCGGAAAATTAGTACATTTTACAAAACGAAATTTGTTCTATTGAACACGACTTTCCAATTTTCTATGCAATGCATTGTGTAAATATTATAATGCTTTGAGCATGACTGCATGTTGTAAAAGGAAAAAAGAAATAGCTGGGGAATCCCATAGCTGCTGACACTAATGCTCAAAACAAAAACGTTGTAACATTCACACTGTGCACTGCATAGAACGCCGGAAGGTCTCTTTCAATAGAATTAACTCTACTCTACAAAATGCACTACTTTTCAAAGATTTTCAAGTGTCGCCTTAAAGCTCAATTTTCTTAATTATTAATATAACATTAAATAAAATGTGAAAAAAGAAAAGCATTTTAAAAAACTTCTATTTCGATGAGTTATTATGAAATTAAAAAAAAAATGTCTAGGTTCATTCAATTGTCAATATTCTTTCTTATGGGTATAGATAAAAGTAGAAAATGATGATAAAATTATTAATTAATTATAATTAATATTTAATTATGATAACTGATCATTTTTCAAAACTATACGTGTCAAAATGTGGTTGATTTAATCAGTATCTGAATATTTATTTGACACACTTTTTCTGTTGGATGACAACGTCAAAACTGATTAAATATTAAAAACATGTTAAACTTTTGATGACTGAAGAAAAAAATTTCATCTCAATGTTTGTCCTTGACAAGTAAACATAGGTAGTAACTAGAGATCCTATCCTATAGCTATATACAGTTTTCAAAAGATTTTTCTTGTCTTATTTCTTTTCGAAGAAAACATTAAAGTGAAATCTATGCTAAATTTTTCGGGTCAAGTTAAAACTTTCTTAATAATTGAATATATTTTCATTCCTCTGATTTTCCATTAGTTAATTTATCAAATAGAATGACTTCCTTTTCTTTTTCTTTCTAAGTCGTTTCTTTTATTTTCTTGACTAGATGTGTCGTTTTTTTTTTATACGCATTAATTTTGTGTACCGATAATATTAATCGTATAGAAACAAGAGAAAACAAAAAAGAAAGAAAAGGAAGAGAGACAGAAAACCAAAGGGAGAGAGAGAGAGAGACAAAGAGAAAACGAAAGAAACAAGACCGAGAATAAAAATATTGATATTTGCTAATTAACAATACAAACCTACTGTGCGCCTATGCGCACCTCACTGCGTCACTTGTAACAATGCACGGTGTGTTGATGAATTGATTTGATTGTTATGTTTATTTGACAAAACATTAAATTGAACAAAAATAATAAAAAGCCAGATGGTCGCCGTCTATCAACATCACGTCGCTCGTAGTATAGTGCATATGTATCTTAAAAAAACAGTCAAAAAACGGAGAAGATATAGAACATAATGAAGAACTCAAGCGAAAGACAATGTGTCTCTCTTTTTATATTAACAATTAGACACACACACATAGACACAAACAGAAAATCAATGTATGTGCATACGTTTGTATACGCTCGTGTGAGCTAGATGTTAAGAGACGGACAATAGAGTGTAAAAAGCAAAAACGAAGACGACAACAATGACGAAGAAGAAGAATAGAAAGACAAGAAATTCTACAGCCACCCTGGTGAGTGTCAATTCAGAGAGACACTAAAGCCGCCAGCAGCAGCATACAAAGAAAGACGATGCAAGATAGAACATTAAGACGACGAACAAGCACATGAGGACAGAGAGAAAGAACTCTCGTTGTGGATAGGGGAAAAGCGACAAGATATCTCAATCAATGTTATATGTGTGTGTGTTGCGCATCGAGCGCGTGTCGTAAAGAAGGATTGGAGAGACCTTTGTGTGTGTTCCATTATGATTATTTTCCGGTAGTCTCGTTTTTCTACTACAACTGCTGCGGCTGCTGTAGTTACTACTACTATAGCTACATCGTCGTCTTCTCATCAAGAACGACAACCTTCAAGCCACATGTGCCTATTCTCTCTCTCTCTCTCACACACACTCTATCCATGTTGTCGTCGAATGCTCAACCAGAGCAAGCGAATGAACTGATTTCTTCTTGTTCTTCATCTAGTTTTCTTTTTTTTTTTCTATTTTCTCATTTTTTTTTCTTTTGACCGTTTTTGCTATTCCACATACTCTTCATCGGCTAGAGTCGAGTGGTGTTAGTGGTTCTTGACGCTTAACGATAATTTTGATTGTTGAACGTGTGTTATGGCGCCATGCGTTGGCGTTATATCAAGTAAAATACAATTTACATGTCTATCTATATGTATCAAAAAATGAATCGTAATTTGCATAATACATAATGATCAAAATTAGTGTTCAAAAGAACATGAGTGAATAATAACATACAGCAATAGTAATAGTAACAACAGTAGTACTCACTCATAAGGACAGGAGTGCTACCATCTGTTTACCATCGAACAAGCAAATCAATGAAGACATGAGACACTTGAGTCTTTTTTTTCTCTGTTGTCTCAGATGCTTTTCTTCACAAACGAATTAAGTAATAAGAGCTTATTAGAGACTAAAGTATTAATACTCTACGTTAGACAAAATACCTCTGATGTTTGCATAGGTACTTTGAGATATATGATGTCTTAAGTAATGCTTTAATTATAGGATGAGAGTACTTGCTATTGCTAACGCCCTGGAGACAGCAATAGCTGTAGTTATAGTGAAATGATAACAACAACAACAACAAACAATATGCCATGCAGGAACAACGGCAACGACAACAATATCACTACTTTTGCAAACAGTTGGACGAACGTCTGTATGTTCGTAGTAGTATGTCATGATATGTATATGCAATATGGATCTAGTCTCGTCTCTCTCTCTCTCTTGTTATGCTTCTATGGCATTTTCGATGAATAAATGGATGAATGCAAAAATGGATAGTCGTGTGTATATGTATATGCATACGTACATAAATATAAATATATATAATAATTTAATGTATATCTTAGTCAAGGTCTGACTTTTGCCCCTGGTTGCTGTTTTGGTTTTTTATCTGTTACTTTCGTCGTGTCTAATTCGATCTCTAGTTTGTGATGCACACACAGCACAATTTATCAATCAATCAATCATAATCACGCAATTTGGCCGTTAGCATTGTCAACATTTTAGTTGTTCAGAATGTAACTTCTCGTTATATTTCGTCTAATCTTTTGCATACTCACGCACATACACATATAGTTAGTGAAAATCAATAAAAAACCTAACGGAAAAGAATGAACAGTCAATCATTCGATTAATCATTGTGTTCTTTGTTTCCTTTGCTCTTCTGTTTTTCTCCTTGTTAGTTGCTGCTCGTCGTCGTCAGTAATATGAGATAGGAATGAAAACGGTCGCGAGCGGCCAACTATACTTATGAATCTCTAGAGAATTTTTACTGGGAATTTGTACTCTCTATTTGTTGTATGACAAGGATGACATAGAAGAGAGAGAGAGAGAGAGAGAGAGAGAGTGAGTGAACAAATGCAAGTGACATCATTTAGTCAGATGCTGATCATTATTAATTTCAAAACGAAATATAACTATAAGAAACTAAATAATCAAAGCTAATTTTTAGACATGCTACCTATCGTGATAGAAATATCTATGACGTCGATAATGTACTTGAACATGTATACATAAATTAAATAATTAGGTTAGTCCGAAACGAACAGGAAACAATTATTAAATATCAGGTGGTTAAAAAAATTCCAAAAAGAGAAAAAAAAGGAAACAAAAATTAATATATATTTAGTTAATATAAATACTTACTCGTCATTTATTTTATTTTTCCTAACTACTACTAGTCTAGTACTGGTGTTTTTTTCTTGTTTCAATGCGCATAGACTTACTTACGTCAATGCCATTTCTTATCGTACTCGTTCATTCTTTTTTTTTTCTTTTTCTTTTATTACATTATTGAGATATTCTTTTTCAGATAGATAGTTGAAAGAGAAAAAAAAAGAAGCGATTAGGATGAATACGAAACGTGCATTCATTCCCGATCTAAATCGAGCCTAATTTATCGAGAAAGGATTAGGCGAAGCGTACTTAATACAAGTGAGATGCCAATCGCACTCGAACAAGTAACATTAAACAAGTGTTAGTATTGAAAATTGAGAATGTGAATACAAGAAGAAGAAAAAAACGGAGTTAATAATATCCATAACAATAAAAAATGTCACTGCAACGGAAGCACATAAAAAAAAAAAGTTATGATTGATTAAACTGTATTCAAGTGACCTCTATAAAACTCTATTGAAACAATTGGTGATCATCAATAAGTAAAGACATGCTATTATTGTCGTTAGCAGCAACGTTTTTATGTACATCGATAATAGCGAGAGCAAATTTATATGGCGAATTGTTTGTTTATTTATTTTTTTCTAACAAAAATATGTCTTCATAGTTCTTAGTGATTATTTTATTTTATTTTTAATGTCACAAAATTCAGGACCGTTTCTTGTTTCTTCACATGGACCTCCAGGATTTCATCCACGATTACCATCATCATCATCATCACCAACATTAAAACGAACAAGTAATGGTCCATTATCGATTGGTAATTCACCAAATACATCTATGAGTACAAATTTAAATGTTTCAACACCACCTTCACTAATACGATCAAGTAATTCAATGGGAACTTTAAAATCAACAAATGTTAATATGAATCCAATGGATAAATCAAATTCAATGCCTTATACATCTCGTTATACACGTAAAGCTTGGCCAATGTCACGTAATATTCATGGTATATATATATATTTATTTGTTTACATATCTTAAACAACAAAAATAAAAACTAAACAATAAATATTTCTAATTCTAGACAAAAATATTCGAGGATATGATGAACATGAACTTCCATATAATCGTCCTGGTTTGCCAAGTCATAATGTTCCTCCATCTGATAATCTTAATAATTCATCATTTACAATTGAACCATCAACAGATGATGACGAAGCAGATGATATTATTTTTTCTTCACGTCATATGGCTGCTGCACGTTTTCAACGTAATCAACGTTTATTATGTGAAATATTTAATGAAGTATGTATACCTGATTTACGATCAAATATAAATGTTGATCGTATATTAACATTACGTCGACAAGTTGATGCACTTAAAACACATCGTCAAACATTTGAAAAAGATTTAAATGAATTAGAAGAAAAACATGCTGAAAAAAAACGAAAATTTTTAGAATCTAATGAAAAATTTTATAATGAATATAATGAAGCATCATCAACAAATTTAAGTCAAGAAAAAATTAATGAAATCTTACAAAAATATGAAGCGATAGAAAAATTACAAAAAGAAAAACAATTACTTTTACAACAACAACAACAACAAACTGTGACAATACCACCACAACAACTACCTCCACCAGCACCACTACCTGCAACAACAGTATCTCAACCAATATCACATTCAGTAACAAAAACTGAGCCTGTACCTATCGTTGAAGTTCCGCAACAGCAAACACCAACGCCTCCACCACCTCCTATTCAAACTCAATTACCACCCTCTCAATCTGTCCCACATTCGTTACCATCTACTCAATCTGTACCATCTTCATTACCACATGCTCAACATTTACCACCTCCGTTACCACCTGTACCATCTTCGTTACCAACTCCTCAATCTATGCCAAGTCAATTACCACCATCTCAGTCTTTACCTAGTCAATTACCATCATTACAAGCTGTTCAATCTCAAATGCCATCTTCTCAACCCGTACAACCTCAGCTACCACCACCACAACCTCCTGTAATGCCACAAGTTCCACCACTAACACAACAACAACAACAACAACCAACAACAACACCTCAAGGTTATCCAATGATGCATCCAGCAGGAGGTTATCCACCAGTACCTGGTTATGTTCATCCTCAACAAACTCAATATCGACCACCAATGAATCAACGATCAGCACAATATCCGTCTAATGTTCAATGGCAACAACAACAATGGCAAGCAAATGCATACGGTAATAATTAAATTAAACTTTTAATTTCTCAGAATGAAGGATTCAAAGTACATCTAAGAGCAGGCCTCTTTAATCGGAGTTTCGTGAATTTCATCAATTTGACTGTGAATTAAAAACACTCCTATCGACTAAATTGATAGATTTTTAGTGTCATTGAGAGTGTGTGATTGGAAATAAGTCTTACGTTCATACCCACACCCTACAATTTGTCAATCGATTAAAGTCTACTGTACTTTTCCCCAAAATATCCTCTAACATTCGTTATTGATAAAATTCCAGCCATCCCTTTGACTTATGTTGTGTATTTCAATCAAATATTATTTTATTTTAAATAGATTCTCGTTATTACAATCCATATCCACCAAATGTTCAATGGCAACAACAGCAACAACAACAGTGGCCACCAACTCAACCTCAGCAACCAATGGGTGTTGTTTCACAACAACAACCATCACAAATGCGTGGTCCTCCTCATCAACAACAACCGCCAATGTATGCTAATGGCGTTCATTATGGCTATGGTGGAACAAGTGCTGGATGGAATCCTAATACACATCCACCGCAACAATATGGTTATCCATCAAATCCATCTTATGATCCAACACTTGTATCAGCACCACCACAACAACAATATTATCCATCACCATCACAAATGCATAATCCTCCACAAGGTTATGATTATGGTCCATCACCATCTCAACAACAAATACCTCCTCAATAATCATCTGAAATATACTGAGAATAATTTGTTTCATAAAATAGTTTTGTTTTATTCGTTTTTAATATGTGTACAACTATTTGTTTGTATATGTTAATTAATCTATGTGTCATAAAAAAAGAAGTCTTTTCAGATATAGTTTACATCGATTGCATACATAAAAATGGCATCACTTCGACCTGGTCTTGCTTTAGTACCAAGAGTAATTGGTCGTCGACAATTCAGTTTAAGTCAACGTATGCGTTTACAAGATAATTTTGATACAGAATGTTTACCTGGTTCAAGTGTTCCATTTGATAGTAAAAGATTTCTTTTTATTTAGAAGAAAAAAATAAAATCTTGTTTTTTTTGTTTTTCAGCAAGTAGCAAATGGGGTTTAGCAATAAAAATGGTTCTCTACATATCATCAGCTGTTGCTGTTCCATTCCTTGCTATGCGTTGGCAATTACTTAAAAAACGTGCTGGTTAAAAAGAAAACAAAGACATTTCAATCGTCCATTCTTTTCATTTTTTTTTGTTCCTGTATCCTGTCCTATAGACAAAGACAAAAAAAGAAAAATATTCTTCCTAGTTAGAACAATAAATGATATTCTTGTCATGTCCTTTCCATAAATAGCAACATGTTTGTTTGTTGTATTTTTTTCTCATTTGATTACATTTCAGATGTCATCATCATCATCAGGTTATTATTTTGTTATTGTTGGTCATGCTGATCAAGTTGTCTATGAAATTGAATTAGGTGGATCTAGTGGACAAACAACAGATAATCGTCATTTAAATCAATTTATAGCACATGCTGCACTTGATCTTGTTGATGAAGTTATGTGGCGTAATACAACAACATATTTAAAACAAGTTGATAAATTTAATGAATGGAATGTTTCAGCATATGTTACAGCTGGTGGTCTTCGATTTCTTTTTTTATATGAACATTTACCACGTTCGGGTGAAGATGGTTTAAAAAATTTTCTTACAGAAGTTTATGAAACATATGTAAAACTTTTACTTAATCCATTTTATACACCCGATAAACCAATACGATCAGCAGCATTTGATAAAAAAATTCAAAATATAGCTCGAAAATGGAATTTATGATAAGAGAAAAGAAAAGAAAAAAGAAAACCAGAACTATTTACATATAATATGTGATTTTGCAATACAATAATTTATATTTTTGTTTCTCTTTGTTTTTTGTTTTGTTCTTATGTAATGATTTTCTTCTTGTAGATTGTTAATAAAATAACTTAATGAGCTATGCCAAAGCGATATTTCCTTATCACACAGGTGTTATTGGTGATCTTGATTTACAAGTAGATGATGTTATTGAGGTAAATCGAAACATAGAAATAAAAATCATATTGACTATATGAAAAATTTTTATTCGATAAAAAATTTTTGATGAGAAATAAGAATCAATGAAAATTCTTTTGAGATTTTTCTTTTCTTTTAAGTTCTTTCAAGAAAAAGCGAATCTGAGATAAATGAATGGCTGAGATCTGATCGTTTATATAAACGAAATGATTTTTTTATTTGGTACCTCCTACTAAGTGATTTTCATTTTTTATGCTTTTTTGATTACACATCACATATTTCTCCAACAAACGTCATTGCAGTCAATGGCTTTATTTTTTGTTTGAAAGAGCACATGAAATTATGATGCTTGTCTTTGGGATTAGGTTTTATTATTCTAATATAAGAAGGAATTTCTATAAATAGATGACCATTTTTTCGAGGTATTCAACTTGTCATTCTTTTTCTACGCATAAAAGGTAAGAATTTTGAGAAAAAAAAAGAGAACACTGCAATCTGACGTACTCTTTCAAATAGAAAAAAACATATAGGATGAAGGCTCACAGTAGATATTATCGGGTTAGTTTGTACTCGATGAAGTTTAGTCGTCTGAGAAACGTTTAAGGCGCGCTAGCCACCAGATACAAAAAAAATCGAAATAAAGTATCTTGTATTTCCTAGACGATGTCGTTTGTTGAATATATCTTGAAAATTTCATGCAATTTCAATGTATTTGGCTTCGGAACGGTTTTTGAAGGGGAGAGTTTATGAATAATTCTTATAACTGTCTAGTTTGTTAAGCAAACAATAAAAACTGAATATCAATGGTACAAAAAAAAAATAAACGAATTATATTATATATAAACTGTAGACAACAAAAAAATTCAAATTAATTAAATAGATTTTGAAAATATTTGATCTTATCAAAACACAAAATCAGCATTATCCATACAGATAGATTTTAACAGTACACTTCAGGTTTCTCAATAAACGGCATCAAAAAAAATAAAAAAGAAACATTGTATTCTTGCATTAAATTTTATAATCATAAATTAATAGGATTCGTTATGAGTTCAATCTCGTGAAATAGAACTGTCAATTTTCGTATGTTTTTAATCACAAGATTTCTATTTGATAAATGTTTCTATAAAACAAAACAAAGAGATTTTTTCGATATGCTTTTTAATTTTTTCACATATACGAACATATATTTTTAAAACTACTTGGTAATTAAGATTACAAGCTTCTATTATTTGCAAAATCAAAACGCTTATTAATTTCATTATAACAGACGAGATATTCTTTAAATGAAATTTATTCTTTTCAGGTATTAGAACAAGTTGATCAAAATTGGCTACGCGGTAAAATCAAAGATAGAATTGGTCTTGTACCATGTAAATTTGTTGAACGTCTTCCAACAGTAAATATTGATCAAAATCAATCATTGTATATTGCACATACAGATTATCGTTCATCTCATGAAGGCGATCTACAATTTCGTCGAGGTATATTTAAAAAAGAAAAACCAGATCTCAATATAATTTATAATATGATTTTATTTTTATTTAAGGTGATCTTTTAATTGTTCATGAACATCTACCTAATGAATGGTTTCGTGGATCACTTCATTTTGATTTACCTGGTACAACTTATAGACCAACTGGTATTTTTCCAAGTACATTTGTTACATTAATAAAATCAAACAAAAACAGTATTGCTCAGAATGGTAAAGTCTATTAAGAAAATAAAAAAATAAAGTCAATATGTAAATTATTTTTTGTATCATATAGAAACTCAAGTATCATCTAGTCAAAATAATCTTTTATTATTTGATGAAAGTCCAATAAAATTTGTTCGAGTCATTTGTGATATAAAACCGAGTGGATCTAATGAATTAGGTTGTTTTGAAGATGAAGTTCTTGCTGTTATTGAAAATGATATTAATCAAAGTGAATGGTTAGTTGTTAAAAATGCATTTAATTCAATTGGACGTATTAAACGTATATACGTTGAACCAATTGATGGTCGACAAAGTGATGATGAACTAAATAATCTTTTATTTGTGCCTAATATTAAATCAAATCAATATCAAAAATCAGATAGTAATAGTTTAGATTCAATACAAGAACTTGTCGAAAAAGAATTTGATAAATTAATGAACAAAGATAATAAAACAGAACAAAGTAAGAGATTTTCTATTGATTTTTAAATAAGAATAATTTACATATGAACTGCTGGAAATAAATTTTATTTATCTGATGAGTTTTTTTAAGTTGCTTAATGCGAATAATTCACTTTTATTTTCATATTAAATGATCCCCTAAAGCTGTTATTATTTCATTTAAAGTCTATTGTTCATATAATTTTATTTTTCTTGATTTCATTTTAACTATAGACATTCTTCTCTCTTTTATTGATTATTCGACTACTGTAAGCTATTACATTTCTTTTTTATTATACAACAAATGTGTCGTGTATTTACCATTCGCCCTCACTATGTATATGTATTTTATACTAATCTAATAGAACGATAATAGTTATTCTTCTTTAAAACAGCTTCGTCGTTTTGTTGTACATACAAGATAATACGTGAGATGTAAACTCTAGACCGGACGTGCCATTCTACTAATTGTGTCCAGTTTGACCTTCAAAATAGTGCAAACAAAAACAGATCAAACTATCACATATTATTAATCAGTTTGTGTCTCAGTCTTTTGTCTCCTTTTCTTTTTCGAACATCGGTCATCCACTTCAATACATGTGTGAATGTGTGGTGATGGTTGGATGAGCTACTAGCTTAGTAGAATTGTACACATTGTCTTTTGCTTTAGTTTCTTTTTTTTTTTTTCTCTACTTTTTTTTCTTTCTTTCTGTCTTACTCATTCGTTCACCTTTCGTCTTCTGACAACGACCGCATCACTTTATATGAACAATAAGAGAGGATACAGCTTGTAATTAATGCTCTATTACAATAGTAATATATTGTAAAACAGAAAAATTTGTCATTTTTGACAAACATTGATATATCGAAATAAAATATAGATTAAATGATGAATTTGGATATACATTCTTCTCAATTAAGTCTTCCTTCATTATCTTATTATCCGACAATAATCAATACAACAACATCAATAAACAATAATATTGATCAACATACATCATTATCTTATTTTCGTCGAATAAGAAAAAATTTTAGAAAAAATTTTTGTTGTCATGGAACAAGATTATCATCATCTTGTTTTAAATGTTTTCGATATTGTATTCCGACAAAATATAAATGTGAGTTTTAAATTTGTTTTCTTTTCTTCTCTTCTTATACGTAACGGAAGTCTTTAGTTCGAAGTATAAATGCAAATAGGTAATAAATGTTCTGTATTATTTTGTCTTAATATGTCTATTATGCAATATGATTGTATAAACAAACACTAAAAAAAAAATTTTTAGAAAAAAAACGCCTTCGTCTTGCGTCATCTTGTTCCAAATTTTTCTATTTCAATAGAACATATGATATATTCTTCGAGTTTAATTGTAGTATGCATGTACGATAATTGCAACTATTAACATGAACATGACTATTGCAGCACAACTGAAAGGAAAGTGAACAGAACAAGAATGATAGGAGTTTGATATGTACATTATATGTGTACAGAGGATTCTTTTTTTCTCTCTCTCTCTTCTCTTTGTATTGACCCTATCCATGATTGCATTAGATCTAGTCGAACGTGCCTGCCTTCCTTTCTTCCTGGACGGTTCCTCTTTTTTCCTCTCTTTCTCTCGTTTTTTTTTCTCATTTACCTACCAGTAAAACGAATAGTAATGTTGTTCAGTTCTAACACATACATACAGGCATATATATATATACATATATATATATTTATAATTGACAATGAACATGAGAAGTAAAAAAAACGACTCCTAAAAAATGAACACTTGTGTTGATTGTTGCTATTGTTGTCGGTATTATCATGTACCGACGTACCCTTTTTATGCTCTTGCATGGCATCAATGTATGTATATATATATATATTTTTTTTTTCTATTATAATCAATAAATAAAAACATAAATATTCATATTGAAACTTTCCATGTTTCGTTTTTCTTAGCTCATTTTACATCTCCACCACCAGCACCACCACCTCTGTCTTCTGTTTATAACTCATCACAAATTAATTATTCTCAACAATATCCATCTTCATTAAGATCAAGTTATATTAATTCAAATAATAATAATAATATTCTTGATGTACAATCCCTTTATACATCAGTACCATTAAATCATTTTTCAACTAATAATCAATATATTTTTACATCCAATACGAAAAATATTTCGAATGTATGTCATACACCATCAACAACATCATCGATTTCATCTTTTGATGATGCACCACCTGTTAAACCTCGTCTTTCTCTTCGACCACAGCTGCCACCACCTCCACCACCGCCATCATTATTCATTCCAACATTTCCTTTATCAACACCACCATTGAGAGGTCCAACACGACCAGCACCAAAGCCACCAATACAAACTAAAGTTGAACCACAACAGGCAAGTCAAAGATATTATATAATAAGTATATTAACTTTAAATTATATATATATATATAATAGATATCATATCGTACAATAAATAATCCATTTAATAAAAATTCAAGTCATGATGAAACAATATCAACACGTGATAGTTGTGATACTGAATCATCATCAACAAGAACAGATTTCTTCGATATAGAATTGCAAAATTTACATAGTCAGTAAATTCATAATCATTTTTTCATTATTGATATAATTATTATACATTTTAGATCAATTATTAATCGATGATCAAGTTGATAAAACTGATATAAAGTAAATAAAAATATATCTTGACCTGTGATGATAATACAAATACATAATTGACTTTGACTAGTTTTGATTTCGAATAATGTTTTCTCTAGATTTTTTTCTTCTTTTAAAATTTCAAGAGGAGAGAGTCAACTCAATCTTTGGAAGGACGTCACACTGGAGAAAATTGTTTATTGTAGTAAATAAATATTCTTTATAGTATTATTCAACGTCGTCGACAACATGCGATTAGTGAATTATTATCAACTGAACGAGATTATATTCGTGATCTTGATTTACTTATAGAAACATTTCTTAATTCAAATTCAATTTCATGTGTAAGATTTTTGTTTTTTATTATCTTACTTCTTTTTTTTTATTTAAATATTTAGCCTGATAGTGTTAATAAAAAACTTCTATTTGGTAATATTCGTGATATAAAGGATCTATCACATCGTCTTCTTAATCAACTTGAATTTGAATATACAAAAAATCAACAAAATGATGATGCACATTGTTGTATTGGACAAATTTTTAATGTTTTAATAGATCAATTAAAAACTATTTATGCAGAATATTGTCGAAATCATGAATGGGTACATATTTATATACGTAAGGTAAGATATTCTTTTAGAAAAGAATTTATTTTTTTATTCTAAAAATCAAAAGCGTAAATTATTTAGCATGGAAATGATGAAAAACTTCAAAAATATCTTCAAGATGGTCTCTGTAGAATTCGTCTTCAAAAATCAAATATTTTCGATGTTTCAGCACTTCTATTACGTCCAATTCAACGTATTGTTCGATATCCACTTATATTAAATGAATTGTTCAAAGTATTTTTTTTTTATAGTTTAAAAAAAAAGACAATTACTCTATTTCTAATTTCATTTGTAGAATACGAGTAGTGATCATATCGATTATATACATCTAAAAGAAGCCATTTCAAATTTAATATCTATGGTTGATTTTATCAATGAATATAAACGACGTAAAGAAATTGGTATGTGTATGTGCGTGTGTGTTCAAGCACATTCATATTGTGTTTATTTTGAGTAGTAAAATATCCTTGTGAACAGGGAAAGAGGAAAAGAGCCAGGGACAAATGATACAAAGAAAAAAACGAGAAAGAACTTTTCTTTCGACAAGAATGAGAATAGTAAAAGAGCGAGAGACAGAAAGATGTACAAGCATTTTTACATAATCGCCTACATACATACGATCAATAGCTTATGTATCTTTTATTTTATCGGCTCACATTCATATAAGCTTGTTTTGTCTTCACAAACATTTAAATGGCCTTGACAAAGTGTACACGTTTTATAGCTGTAAAAAGTATAAGTAATTCTAATGTAACTGAGGATAATATGGAACCATATCATGTTACTATATTTCGACGTACAACATCAATGCTACCATTACCGAGATTATCATCAGCTAATTTAATAAGACGAGAACATCAACAATTATCTCATTGTTCTCGTTTAGTTTCAAAATATCAACGACGTGAAAAAGATGAAGCATTAACAAATAAATTATATAAATTAAATATGCATACAATGAGAAAAAAATCTGCTCGAATTAGTATGCGTTTATCAAGTGCATTTGGTTTATCAACACATACAATTGATGAACGATTCAATTTTGAAGAACAACGATTTCGTGCTATTGATAAATTTTTAAGATTATTTGTTCGAAATGCTTATACGTGTATGGAAGCACTCAAGGTATATTTTATTTTAGAAATTATTTTTTTAGAAAACTATAATTATGTGATTTACAAAATAAAGTCCTTCAGCTAGTTAATCGCTTTCAAATTGAGATTATGTAGACAATAGATGTTTGTTGCCGATATATTTTTACGGTAATGCCGGGACTCTAGTCAGGTACATTAGGAAAATTAATTTTCTAGAGTTTTAAATTAAAAAAAAACTTTAACAGAGAATAGTTAATTGTGAAAGTATTAAGCCATTTGATCTGTTCCTGTCCTGAAATAAGAACATCCAATCTGTGGGTGTATGTGAGCGATACACCGGACGCGTTTTTATTATGGTTATATCTTGGGAGAGGAACAATGAATGTATCTGAAATTTTCACAATACACTTTTCTCGGTAAAGGTTTGTTATCGAACAAGAATTTTTTTAATCTGAAAACTTTTCTATTACTCTAAATTGATTAGATTTCAGGAACAGTCAGAAGAATCGGAAGCTTTGCACATTGAATATGTAGAGAAGAAAGTCATTGTTTTGACTGAAATTTTTAGGATTATGAGAACTATTGATATGCAATCAAAATTTTATTTTCAATTTTCCTGTTACTCTTTCGTCCTAGACTAAAAAGTTCAGTAAAATCATTATCACATTACAGAGAAGTCTTATGAGTTCGAATCTTTTTGAAATTATTTTAGTCTAGAAATTTTCTGTATATACCTTGTGATGTATTGTCGAATAATAAAATTCTTGCGTCATAATCAAAGTATAGAATCTTAGAAAATTTATTCAGATTTAAGAGTTATTCTTTCACTGATTATCTTAGTTNTTAATCGCTTTCAAATTGAGATTATGTAGACAATAGATGTTTGTTGCCGATATATTTTTACGGTAATGCCGGGACTCTAGTCAGGTACATTAGGAAAATTGATTTTCTAGAGTTTTAAATTAAAAAAAAACTTTAACAGAGAATAGTTAATTGTGAAAGTATTAAGCCATTTGATTTGTTCCTGTCCTGAAATAAGAACATCCAATCTGTGGGTGTATATGAGCGATGCACCGGACGCGCTTTTATTATGGTTATATCTTGGGAGAGGAACAATGAATGTATCTGAAATTTTCACAATACACTTTTCTTGGTAAAGGTTTGTTATCGGACAAGAATTTTTTTAATCTGAAAACTTTTCTATTACTCTAAATTGATTAGATTTCAGGAACAGTCAGAAGAATCGGAAGCTTTACACATTGAATATGTAGAGAAGAAAGTCATTGTTTTGACTGAAATTTTTAGAATTATGAGAACTATTGATATGCAATAAAAATTTTATTTTCAATTTTCCTGTTACTCTTTCGTCCTAGACTAAACAGAGAAGTCCTATGAGTTCGAATCTTTTTGAAATTATTTTAGTCTAGAAATTTTCTGTATATACCTTGTGATATATTGTCGAATAATAAAATTCTTGCGTCATAATCAAAGTATAGAATCTTAGAAAATTTATTCAGATTTAAGAGTTATTCTTTCACTGATTATCTTAGTTTCTTTTTTACAGGAAACATTTGTTACTGAAGTAAATGTTGCTGAAGATTTTCAAGAATTATTATCGGACAAAATGCCTGATTTAGCTCAACAATTTGTTCGATCAAAACGTTCATTACTTGAAAATGCTTTCACTGAATTTGTAAAATATTTTAATAATTTTGTTGTTGTTGTTGTTTTAATCTTTATAATATAGTGTACTCATATGGAATCATGTGTTGCAAATCCAATAAATACATTAATAAAATTATTTGTTTTACCATCAAATTTAATTTCTAAACGACATGATAAATTATTAGATTATGATAGTGCTCAATCAGCTTATGAAAAAGTTAAAGATCAACAATCAAGACAAGTATTTAAATAGTTTTCATTTTTATCATCAATTTTATTTTTCATTTATATTTCTAGGCTAAACAAGTACTTGATCTAGCTAAAAAAACTTATGAAGCATTAAATAGTCAATTATTAGAAGAATTACCTATTTTATATGAACATAGTTGTGAAATATTATCTATATGTTTAAAAGCATTTATTGTAGGACATCTTCGTTTAATACAACATATGAGAACAAATATTCAATATATACTTAATCAAGTAATTAAGTTTGCATTCTTTGATAAAAAAAAGAAAACTTTTTTTCATTCTTATATTTATAGACAACATCACCTGCTATATCAGGACAATTAAGTTGGTTACAAATAGTTGAAAGATTTACATCGAAAAATAGTTCGGCTGCTGAACAATTATTTCAATTAACAATAACAGCAAAAAATTTTTCAGATAAATTAAAAAATTTATCAACAACAAGAATATCTTCAATGAATAATGTTTATAATAGTAATAGGGTTTGTTAGATTTTTTTCTTTCTTTTTTTTTTATTTTTCTTAGTAATTAAAAATAATTTATTTAATAAATAGGATACATACATGCAAACAGATGAAATCAGACGTTTATTAAGAAGTCGTTATGCTGAAAAAGATTTGTATACAGTTATTCGCGATTATGGAAATGCAACAAATAACCGAACAACGGAAATTATTGTTCGAAGTGTAAGTACTATCGATAATTTACAGAATACTTCAAAAAGTCTGTCGGAAAAGTTAATGTTAGTGTCTCTTATACAATGCAAGCGATTCAATTTGTAAATATGTTTCTTAAAGTTTTCATCTGTATATTTTCAGATAAATATTAGTGCCTGTAAATATGAAAATAAAAATAATACTATAAATGACTAAATTTGAGTCATCTATGGTTTTGAAATAGAAACTGAAAGTCGAGTTCGACTAAAAACTTACGAACGGAAGATCAAGAACATTCTGGAAGATTGTCAAAAGTTATAGAAGAAAACGCTTAGGATGTTTGTGAAAAACGAACCACAATCATTTACTCGAGCTGTCGTAAAGATTTGCTCTATTTCATCAACAACAGCGTACTGAATTTTCAAAATCTTCCAGAACGATCTCAATCTTCATTTCGTGTGCTGTTGCTAAATTACCTATAGTTTTCATTTCACAATCTTCAATGACTCACATTTGGTCAATAATAATAGTATTTTTATTCTAATGTTTATAGACACAGACATTTATCTGAAAATATGCAAAACAAAACTTTAAAGAATATAGTCACAAGAACTATAGTGTTATCTTACATATAAAAATGCTACGAAAAGTTATATTTCAAGAAGAATACAGAATGTTAGTCTTGTGTCGATAGGTTTTTGAATAAATTATTATTACTCTAATTACATGTCATTATTCTTTTTTTTTCTATTTTGTATACTTACTCGGTGTTCACTGTAGAAAGTCTACGAAAAGACGATATGAAAATTGTCGATAAGAAAGTTTATGAATATGACAAATGAATATCTTGTGTTTTTGAAACATATTTTACAGAATCTTATTCATTTAAATAGGGCGATCNCCACAGTCACACCCACACCGGGGGGCGTGGGGCGTAACGCCCTCACGCCCCCCCACTTTTGGAAATTAGCAGTGATGGCTGTGATGGATATGGGTATGGGTATTATATCTTCATTGACATCCACACCCACACCCACACCCGTTATGAAGTGCCAAAGTTATCATAAATGGACCTTTTTTCATATATTGAGTGCTTCATAAAATCCTAATGGTTCAATATTTTACAACGAAAATTTTATGGTAAATAGAATTCACTGAGATATGTGACAATAAAAAATTTTAGCTCATTTGGTTGAGCCATTCGTGAGATATCGTTGCATTAGGACTCCCATTTATATATATAGTCATTTTTAAGCCTTTTCGTAAAATGCTCATAAAAAATCGAGGATTCAATATTTTTTTAATCCGCTTGCGTCAAAAATCATAAAACTCTTCTCTCTATAACATATCTTAACTGGAGCAAGTTCTGATGATATCGATTGAGCAACTTTGGTCGTGGCTTACATCGACTGGCTCTTATATCTCTTTCTATATATGTAACTCCAAGTTCATTTTATTGTGGGTGTGGGTTTGGGTGTGCTGGGGGGGGGGGGGGGGGGTGGGGGGGGAGGTGTTGAAAAAAAGAAAGATGGGCCCCCGTAAACCCCCCAACCCACCCCCCAAAAAAA